CTGGGTGGACTAGAGAAACAAATCCAGCAACACTGAAAAGTGTATAAAAAAGAGCTTTATATAAAAGACTAATTGTATATTAAGAAAACATCCCAGCCCAGTCCAGATCAAGTCCATAAGTCCAATATTAGTCCATATGTCTGACACCAGTCTATAAATTCCTCTTCAAACTCCCACAACACATGCAATGATGCTGAGTGCAGGAAGATCACAGGCTAGTGGGTGGAAAGTCTTGTGGATCCAGTGGTGGTGGAAGCATCTTAGGCTGGTGTGGGTCTCCACGTGGCTCCTCCAGCTCCAAGGCTCTGGCTGCCATCAGCATAGCTCCATGTGGCTTGTCAACAGGAGTGTCTAAGAGGGAGTGAGTATGTCCCGCCTCCAGTGAGCTATTTATCTCCATAGTACCTCCAAATGAGGTCATCAAGCTGCAACCTGATTAAAGGCTAAACTCCTCACCTTCACTCCTAAGATTCTCAAGTTGGCACCGGATTATGTAATGACCACATAAATCAAAACAACGAGATACCACCTCACCCCAGCATTGATAGCACAGGTCAAAAAAGCCTCAAACAATAACCAATAATGGAAGGGATGGGGAGACACTGGAACCCTCCGTGACACACTGGAGATGGGCTGTGAAACAGTTCAGCTCCTGTGGAAAGTGGCCTGGCGCATCTTTAAACAGTGGGAAACAGAAATACCATACGGCCCAAAACAGCGCTACTTGGTATATATCCTACAGAAATAAAAAACATAACATGAACAGATAAAGGCACACCCATGTTCATCACAGCATTACTCACCAAAGCAAGACGATCTGAAGAAACACTCTAAATGCCTGTCAGTGTGCATGCACACAGTGAATGACTGCATTGCTGAAGAAGAAGGTGAAACTGTGAAGCACTTCCCACCTGGATGGGTTTAGAAGGCATGATGCTAACTAAGTGAAGGTAGTCAAACACAAAAGAGCAGACGACACGTGAGGCTACTGTAATCAAGGAAATGGTTCCATATCAAATGAAACAGACTTCAGTGGCCACCAAATGTGGGACAGGGTGCTGGGGATGTTGTGGGCTGTTAACTGGGCGAGACAGAGGAGTCTCTACTTCCATGAAGAGTGACAGTCTCAGAAACCCACAGGGGCAGTTCTACTCTGTCCTGTGGGGTCGCTGTGCGTTGGAATGGACTGGATGGCAGTGAGTTTGG